AATCAGTGAAATAATAAATAAAAAATAATAATAAATAATCAAATAAATAAATTAATTTTTTATCTTTTCTTTTCTTAATTCCATTTATTTAATTAATCTATTTATCTATGTACAATGATTTGACTTGTATTATAAATGCATTAATTTGGGAGCACTGATGGGTGGAACTGCTGGATGCTCTTACATGCAACTTTTCTCTAATTAAAATGTAATTTAAAAATTAAAAAAAAATATGCCAAATGTTTTGTTTTAAGCAGGCGTCGGCACGCAGCCATTCACATGTTTTGCAGTGCGTTTGTGTGCGTATGCCGCACGCGAAACGGAACATTGTATTGGTTCGAACTTTGAACCACTGCAATACACGTGTACGTGAGCAGCAGCGCCTTTTCCTGTACCCATTACCCTTTCATGAGCTGCTGCATGGAGTTGCTTGAATGACTGTCTAAATATCGCAAGACATTGAATTGGACAGGCTTTGTCGCCTGGCTGTCGCATGTTAAATGCGCGCCGCCACACATCTCTCATTGAGTGTGGCCCTGCTGTGAAAGTGAGTGTGGCCATGCTGTCTCTGTGTGTGTGTGTGCGAGTGTTGTGCATTGTCTGGTTAGTCCTTTCCGCATATATTTGAAAATAAAGTTACGACAAGTTGCACTCAATTTTCAGCATTTACTGTCAGCGCACAGGCACGCCATGCCACGCCACGCCACGCCATGCCATGCCATGCCATGCCACGCTGTCCAGCCATCCAGCCAACCAGCCATCCAACCAGGCAGTTATCCAGCCAGGCAGTTGAGAAGTCCACTAAAGATACAGAGCTCCCCCCACCCCATCATAAAGTGGGTGAAAGTGGGAGGGAGGGGGAGGACATGCCACTGTGTGGCAACAAAAACTATGTCAGGCCCAATGATTGTGGACAGTGGCTAGGACATGGTAAAAACAAAAGCCAAGCAACGCATAAAAACGCTTGAAATGAATACGTGTAACTATTGTTGGCCTACAACTGGGTCCACCCCAGCACCCAGCTGTAGCATCCCCTCCCAGCTTCATACCCAACCCTCAAACCTCAGCCCCATCCCATCTCCATCTCCTTGAACACTATCGGACCCAGCCCAGAGGCATATCAATGCTAACCAACAGCATTTGGCTTTATTACATATAAATACGTGGCGGGGCACAAACTACTTCTATAATTCACTAGAAAACCTTCAAGAGAAGATCTTCCTATCGTACCCTTTTCAAGAGTATTCAGAGTGCGCTAAAGCCCAGCTGAAGTCCCTGTGCTTTCCCATTAAAAGTGCGCGTCGGTAGAGATTCGGTGATCCGGCAATGCCCAGCATGGATTCGCGTGAGTCGTGCAAAGAAAATTCTAAAACAAAACCCCCAATAAAGTTACTGCGTGAGTCGTGAGCCGCTCCATTCCCAGTGCTAGATCTCTAGTGGCAGTGTCAGTGTCAGTTCGGCGGAGTGACTCGTGCTCGTGACTGTTCAGCTGTGTTTTGGCCCATCCCCAGGGGCGCGAGGCTTGGATGCCGTGGCCCCATTCTTGAGGTACGCACGTCTCTGCTCGACTCGTACCGGAGAGATAAGCTCTGCAGGTGGTCGGAGTCCGGACCCTGCCGGACATACACATCTGGTGCATTTGCATACGGAATTTCGCTGTGCGTGTGAGGTAATGCCAACGACGTCAGCGTGGGCAACGGACGATGCAAAATGTAGAACGTGTGGCATCTGAACAGCTCAACGCCCACACAGCCACACAGCCACTCATCCACTCAGCCACTTAGTGGCTGGGGGGCGGGGAGGGAATGGAATTGGTAAAGGGAAAATCTCATTTTGAAAAGTGTCACAACATGCCGGGCATCAAGCTGTCACTGCCTCCGGCAGCTGCAAGTGTATTTAAATTCCAACAAATTAGCTTAGTAAATTAGCTGCTCATAAATCTGCGGCCATAAACACACACCCAGAGACACAGAGTAACACAGACAGACTGCAAGGGACTGCATCTGTCATCGGTTTAGTTACCATTTAGATCTTAAACATGACCAAATTTCTAATTAAGTGACGACTGTCCCTAACATTTCATGTGGGCCCACAGAAACCACTGTGAGTAGTGTGCTTGGGTATCTGCATTAGGGGATTAGCTCAGCGCTCACACCGCATTCCCTGCACTGGCCACATGCTTCTGCTGCTGGGGTCCTGCTCCTGGTCCTGGGGTCGTTGTCATCGTTATCCCCAGACCAGGCCAGCCCAGCCATTCATCACTCAACGCACAAACTGTTGCGGTTGCTCTGCTCCCAGTGAAAATGCACACACACACACACACAGATATGTGTACCTACATATATATACATACATATGTATGCTGCAGCTAGTCGTGGAGTAGACCAAAATAAAAATCATACAAAAATTCCTCCATTCAACTGATTCCAATTTTATTCGATTTTTTTCTATATTTCAATCAACAAATAACCAAATGCAATTTATAGATATCTGAATGTGTGAATATCTGTGCCTAGAGTTAACTGAAGTATACTGAAAATTCGGCTAGAAATTTCACACTGATTCCACGCAGCCGAAGAACAAAACTAACCAAAGATCAGCCGCAAAATTAAGCAACAAACATTTTCAGAATTTCCGAAATAGTGCCTACATTTCATGCACCGATTCTTGGCGCTTATAACCTAGTCAACACGATTTTCCCAAGGACAAAACGATTTCATTGGGTTAGAATGGTTTGATGATATTTTTTTTTCTAGGGACTTTTTTTGATTTTGACTGGATTTTTTTTTAGCTTTTTTAAGTAGCGTTGTTTTTCACATAGTTCTAGTACTTACGCTGGTTGTAAGACTTTGCATTTTGGTAATTAAACAGCTAGAGTAAGCCCAACACTTTGTGATTACAGCTACCGCTGGGATAACTGAGTTGGATTTTTAACATTGCTTAAACCGGTCAAATAACCCTATTTGTGTATAGGATATGCGTCAGTACGCCTCTAGGCTGCTAAGTTACTACAAAGGCAAATTGAGGAGCACGCCCTGGATTGGGCGACGGTACCAAGTACAACCCTTTTCGTTTGCTTTGTCCCAGCAGGGGCCGAGGATTTTTGTCATTTTTAGAAAAAAAGCCCAAACCAAAAAAACCCCAACCAAAAGCGTTTGACCGCATGCGAGTGTGTAATTTACCAAAAAAAATTCAATCAAACTGCAACGATTTGTTTATGGAGCTTCACTTTATTTTAACCATAAACGAGAAGGAACGTGTGAGTCGCTTCTGGGGACGCGACTCTACTTTTATACCCGTACCACTAACCATACAGTATGGTTGGAATTATGGTTTTTGAGTACGGGTATAAAAAAAAGAGGTGCAACAGTGCCAATTTAAAATGGTTTCAAGTATGAAAGTATTTTACAATTATAATGGAAACTCTGATTCGATTGGCAAATCAAGAGGAGCCTGTCGAAAATGTCAAATATTCGATTCGATTTGATTTGCAGCGAATTTCCACTGATATTTTGAGTTAAGTAACGTTGTTAGATAGTTACCTATTCCACTGAGTACATATTCGGTCTTAAATTACACAGAAAATAGGAGAGCAAAGTACCATACCAAAATTATTATTATTTACAGAGGACGAGGGTGATGTGGATTCGCCCCATTTATGATTGTGGTCTCATAATGCAGATGATTTGGCCTCAAAGCACTGGCCATTGATGGCCGTTCTATCGCCTTGGGCAATGCTTACGTACATATTTACAAATGTGACCGTAACGTACCCTTTGACAAGGCAGCGTTGACTTTTTAATTAATAATGACATTTGCAACCCCCCAATTCAAATTTAATTAATTTAATACAACTTTATGGATGATGAGGAGCATCAAGTAAATATGGCAAAAGACCGGACTATTTGCCTGGTGTTCCATGAGGGGAAAACCTTTGAAACAAAAAGTATCTGGCGAATGGTGACATGCCGGAGGAGGAGAAAGCTGAAAGCTGTACCACCAAGCTCCATCATTCATTCCAATACTAAACACTATAATACGCTAAAACTATCTGGCCCTGGCCACGCGCGAAACGCCGCCAAGCCCACCAAACCAACACACAACAAACCATAAACAGAGTTTGCATATTGATTGAATAGCCCAAATAAATCAGTGGGCGAAATAAAATATATTTACTCTGTGCAATGCTTATTTATAATTTTATTGTAGGCACTTCAAATAATAAGACTTTTCAAGGTGCTCAATGTAGTGGGCACATAAACCTCTTCATTTGAGTGAAATATCTGAAAACTTTCCATGGCAATTGCGCACCTGTCCCGATGAAACAGAGCTATCAAATGGAGTTGTTGTTTCGGGGTTCAGATCGTCAATTACTGCATTGAGTGTAGAAGGAAGAGTCAATATACGGATGAGAATTCAAACGATAAGTGCGTGATCGAGGTAGTCCAAAGAAGAAACAAATCGGGGGTACATTTTAAATATTTTTCACTATGGTATGTAATTTACGTCCGTTTTGCAGGTATGTTTGTAATGCCATTTAGACTGGGCCCAGTGGATCGTGAGAGCGAACAGAGCGAGCTATTAGTCCGAGGGCACTAACAGTGGCTTGTTGATGGGAGCATGATGAAATTATACAAGGTGGTCCCGTCCCGCAATGTGATCGCTTTTCGGAGATTGCATGTGTGTGAGTGATGAATTGGAATTGTGTAAGTGTATGAGCGTGTAAGATCCGTAAGAGAGCAACGGCACCACCTTGTATAATTTCATCAAGGATGGGAGCGGAGCAGTTAACACAGAGCTTTAACAGACTGTTACACTGGGCTGTTTACGGCGCTGTTAGGACTCCATGGGTAACAGCCGGTTACTGTTCTTGCTTACATTGGACTGTTAGCTCGCTCTCGCTCTGGCGCTGCTCGCTCTTACGATCCACAAGCTGTCACTTGTCACTTACATCCCCAAAGTTTCCATCCTTAAATTTCAAATATTTAAACTTTGATTATATCACAGACATACATATGTTTTTAATTTGCATAACTAAGGAACAATTTAATTTGAGATTTTACAAGGAAACTGCGATATAAAATATCATAATTTTGTGTGTGGCCAAGATGGAATCTATTGTGGAGGAAGTATTCGAAATGTGTGTGGGGGGCGGGGAAATTGAGCTTCTGCCCCCACTAATTGGAGAATCGACCCCCATTGAGCCTCCAATTGCCACAGCCAATTGCGCCTGGATCGCCAGCGCATTCGGTTGTAAAAACTGATGGGGGAGCGACCAAGCGATTCTTATAGATGCCAACAGAGCGAAGGCGCTTCTTCACCTCATTGCACAATGGCCAGATCTGATTTTCAGTCTTTGGATCGGCCAATTGATCGGCCAATAGAAGACCAATGGATAGAATCTGACCGCGACGGTACATGACATGTGCACCGCCGCCACCGCCTCCGTGTCCATCGGTTATTGGCTCTGGCTTGATCGAAAGCTTGGCCATCTCAGGGCAGTTGGCCAGTGACTTGGGCCAGGCGGCCATCACTGGTAGCTCGTTGCGACCGGCATTGGGTGCCCCCCTGTTGTAGAGCCTCCTGTTGATCTTGTCGCAATTTTGCTGGTTCATCACGCCGGACATTCAATTCAAGCGTGTGCCTAAGGCTATTTATTATGTGAGAAGAGAACAATTTGATCCGTTTGGCCATGGTCTTACCTGTTCTTTTGTGTATATTCGAAAAGTAATTTCCTTGCACGGAAAAATGTATATAAAAAATCAAAAAAAAAAAAAAGATTCCAAACGATGTAGTTGACTTGGTTAGCACTGATTGACTGAAATGTAAAACGAATTCGGCTAACACAACACAGCCCAAGTGACAGGAGCCACTTATTCCAGCCTACTTGGCCGAGCAGGAAAGAAAAATTAACTTTAAAGGTACCAAAAATTAAAAAAAAAAAAAAATCCACCGAGGGAACAAGTAATCACACCCCGTCAAAATACTCGTTTAAATTTGAAAACTCTTTAACTACAATTATAATTTATATATTACGACGGATATTACATGTAGACATGTCGTCCAGGGTTGCCGCCAGCATTTGGAGGAGGACGGCGATTGGAGGAGGTGGAGCAGGAGGAGGAGCCAAAGCTGCGCGCTCGTTGGAATCCGCCGATCATGCTGAATCCCCGAAAGTTCGCCCGCTGAACTTCTCGATCGGCTGGGACGCCGATCAACCCATTTGTGGCGACCTGGATCATCGAGTTGCCCGAATGCTCTGGGTGCTTGGTTTCGGTAATTGGCTCCCGCGATGCTCCACTGGTTGCGCTGGCTACGGCTGCCGCCATGGTTCTGGCGTTCCCTGCGCTCCCACGGCTGGTAGGTGGAACGCGGCGCCGCGTATCTTTCCGGCACTTCCGAACGGATTCGCGGCACTGTTGCCACCGGTGGCGGCAACTGCAGATAGTAGTTCTTCGACTTCGACTGCTTGCGCTCATCGTTGTGGTCACAGTGTTGGCGCCAGCTGCCGAATGCTGCTGTTGTGGCTGCTGGACGCTCCCGCCAGTTTTCAATTGGCGGTGGCCCCAGTGCTGTGGGTGCTTGTCGGCCCATCTGCAGTGGTGTACGCACCCCATTCATGGCCGCATATCGTCGCCTGAGGTAGGAGGACCAGGTCAGAACGAGGGCATAATTCGGTTGCTCCTGGTACAGCGTGTCAAATTCAAAGAAGTCGCAAAAATCTTCATCACTGTATCCATCGTCATCCAGGCATTCAGCCTCAGCTGCAGCAGAAGATGTGGCAGCAGCGGCAGAGGATGCAGCAGATGAGGCAGCTAGAGCAGAATATGTTGCATAAGCTGTGGCACCTCCAATCCTAGATGCACGTGCAATGGCAAACCTTTTTTTTGCTGGCTTGCGGGCTGCGGGTGCCAGTGCTGGCCTTGCCCGCCAATTTTCTGGCTGCCTTTCGCTGGTGATCTGCTCCTGGCGACTGATGCGCATAAAGTACTCCCGCTCAATGGGTGCCAGCATCTCGAAGTTCTCCAGTTGGGGCGCGTACACTGCAGTGGCAACAGCAAAGTTTGTTGACTGGATGTTGAGTTTAGGATCGCACTTGCTCGCTTACCTTTGGCAGCCCTTGACTTTGAGCCGTCCTGCTTGTGGGACTTGTCCTCCCGTTTGGCCTCAGCCCTATCCCTGGCTGGCTGCATATCCCAGTGACGAACTTATCCACGTTTCATTGGGAGGAACAATTAAAATTTAAATAACAAAATGTTGAACTACAAATAAAAGATTTCGAATTTTTCGGTTTTACAGTAGATATGAAACGGATTACTATTTCTACTATGTCCGATCAGTATGAGCTCCGAACTGTATTTGTGTGAGTGAGAATTATGAGACCGAAACAGACACCTGAATGCCAGGCTCCGAGTCACAGTTGGAGCCGCCTGACTGCCTGCCTCATTTTTCAACTGCCAATTTGGGCTACGCACAAATTAAATCGAAAGCTGAGTGTTCAAAACAATTTGAAAAGGGGGAAAATATACAAGCAAGTAAATGGAAATCGTCTGCGCAGGTCATTCTTACACATTTTCAACTGAGTTGAGTTGTTTTTCACTGCAACAAATGATTTTGAGCAGATACTTGCAGCACGGGGCAGAAATGGAACGGAAAATGGAATAATCCTCAACTTGAAACCATAATTTTCCCACCTTCTGTGCCAGCGTCTGCCCATCTTTGCTTTTTCCAACACTAAACTACAACAGAAAGCTGTTGTCTCATTAGAGTCGCCTCCCCACACCCTCACCCTCCCACACACACACACTGAAAGCTAAAGTAAATCAAGTATTTATGGGGCAGCTTTTTTCAATGAATTTGCCAGGATATTAGGCGGATGTGTGGCACATACAAAACACCCACAAATAAGCTGAAGCGAGCAGCTCCCGGCTGTGCCACATAGGTGGACACCCCACACAACCCATTGCCAGTACCACAGCCCAGAGGAGCGGACAGGAGTGGTGGCGACGGCGACGGCGGGTTAGGTGCAATTTTCAAGCAGTTAAAATAATTGCAACAAATTTTCAAGTTTTCCTTATTATCCCATTTTGCATGCTGCTGCACATAATCCAAAGCAAACAACGAACTGCCGCCGAGGCAATGACAGAGGCAGAGGCAACAGTTTTGCCAGTGAGTATGCCGGGGATGAGCTTTGGGCGGCAGCCACATAAATGTTTTAAGCTGTTGTGAATTATGGTAATGAATGTCAGCGCAAACTTCCGGATGCCTGGGCACAGACCTCCGGTTCATAGCCAGAGCCAGAGCCAGCACCAGAGCCAGACCCCCGCAGCAGCAGACTAGACCCAGACCCAGAGCAGACCCAGAGCAGACCAGACCCCCGTAACACTATGGCACCCGTTTTGCATTGTCTTTTGTTTTGACCATCTTTTGTTCTCGGTCCACGTTGCCACTCGACATTGGCCTGAGGCGATGGCGATGGCAGTGGCAGTGGCAGCGGAAATGCAACGTTTTCAACTGCATGCAAAACATACCATTGACAAACGGTTACTCGGGCAGTGCCAACGGTGGTGCACCGTGATGCGAGGCCCAGCCAAAAGTGTGCCAAAAGTGTGCTTCCTTTTTTACACACATTTCATTTGACATTTCATGAAAAACAAAAATATTATAGAATATTAAAAGAGACAAGACATAACAGAGATAATTCAGCTGGGCCACTGCAAGACTTTTTAATATTTGATAATGAATTTTCATTGCAAAAGAAAACAAGAACAAGAAATATTTAATTACATTACCATACCAATTTAGCTTTGAAATTTTTAATTTCATTTCAGTTTATAATTTTAATAATTGTAAGCAATTTCTTATTAATTTCTTTTTTTACACTCATCAAATTTTGGAAATTAAATAATATGTCAATGGAAACAAATTTATGATTTTGGCTGTGTTGCGCTTAACAGACTCAAGTGTGTACTTAACAGACTCAATTGTGCGCCTAACAGACTCAAGTGTGCACTTAACAGACTTACTTGTGCGCTTAACTGACTCAATTGTGCGCTTAACAGACTCAATTTTAATGCCAACTAAACTGAAAAGTTGTGATAATCGAGAAAATTAATAAAAGAATAATTCATGGGGCTCGAGGAACATTGATGCAGCACCACTGTGCAGTGCGCTCAATGTGCTCGTTTTGGTTAAAACAGAAACGGAATTTTTAATTTCCTCAATGCGGTTAAGGATGCCATCAAAGCCTGTGGACTGATTACTGAATGGTCGACCAACCGAATTGAGAAAAGAGCTTGAGGCAGTGAGGCAGTGGAATGGAAGCTGCCCAGATGATTACTGCTCTTGCCCCACGGTTCGGCGAGGGCTTGCCCCCAAGACAATGCCACTGACAGTGTCCTAAATTCGCTTGCCCTCCGATCAAAGAGGTGTCCTTTGGGGCAGCTGGACACACCGAAAGGAAGAGAGAGAGAGAGAGAGTGGAGAGTGGAGTGATGGAGTGAGGACCAGAGGCACACCTGATTTACGGCGTCGCGCATTGCCACTTTTAGCTGTCCATAACAAATTGGACACCAGTTGATAGAGGCGCCAACTTGTCGCAATGCAGGCAGAGTGCGCCTACCCTTGTCCCTCCTGCTAACCACAGGCCTCTCTTCCCCACCCCATCCCCATTCCCATCCCGTTGGATCCACCACAAAAAGAGCTCAGACTTTGGGCTGCTCCCCACACACAAGATTGAAGGAATATTTATTGTTTGGGAGTGGACCAGCACAAGCGTAATCGAAAATAATGCCCTACGAAGGGCCAAACCCTTGTAGGAGCATTATGGAGAGCTAATTTTATTTTAGTAAAACTTAGCCCTCAATGTTAGTCTGCAAACCCCAAATTTGATACATTTTCAGTTCGTTCTTTTCCAGGGCTGCTGTGCACACGATATGGTCAACCGCTTGGTTCTAAATCTCAAATAAAATCCACTTAATATGAAGTTTCAATAATATTGAAATTATATTCAGAAATCTATCATTACAACCGATTTAATGGCATAAAGTCCAATTTTGAAGCACGAGTACATTTGTACATATATGCACATAAATACATACATATGACATGTACATCATGCACAAATATTGAATTCTTGTTTTTATTTTTTATTTCAATTTAATTTTTTAAATTGTGCTATGTATTTTTCACATATAAACTTCTACCCTAGTGTGGGAATAGCTGATTTCTTGGGGTCTGCATTCAAATTTAAGCTCTGTAAATTCGGAGTAAATTTTGGATAAATAATCCATGCGGCTTATTTTCGGATTTAATGTGGATATATTAGGCTGTTTTTAAGTGATTAATGCCAACATAATTAAATAAATTAATTCATTAATTTAATATTTGCACGAATATTTGTGAAAAGAAAATTCTTAACACATATAGATTCGATTGGTCCAGCTTGCAGCTGACTTAATTGCAAGCCAATTCTAAATCAGGGACTTTAAAAATATCTAAAAAATCTAGTAATTAAGTGTAAATAACACCCAAAATCGAACTTTTTTTTTCCTCAAGGAAAACGTTTTCTGATAGATATGGGCTTTAAAATTTTTTAAAAATGTTTTTTTTTATGGCCTTTTTTTTGAGTTGTATTTGTAAATTTCAGAGGTAGCGCTTGTTGGGCCGGCAAAGCAAACGAAAAAGGGTTGTACTTTGGTACCTGATGCGACCATCTGGAGGGGCACCATGAAGGTATTTTTTGTTCATTTTTCCATATTTTAGGTTTGGTTAACGATTTTAGCTCAAGGCCTCTGTTTTATGGCGTACCT